GAAGAAGCAGCATTTAGTTCCTTTGCTCCACTTATCTGGAACAAACTTCCAGAAAACTTTAAAAGTGTGGAAAGAGTTCCTTTAGATCAAGACTAAAAACACATTTGTTTAGGATTGCCTTCGACTGTTCTAGATAAACAGTTCAACTGAAACATCATTAGTCCAACTTTTTTTATATCATTTTTTGTTTCTGCATTTTTTATTGTATTTTATTTATTTATTTATTTATTTTTTCCTACTTGCTTTGATTCTGTTTTATCTTCCTGTATTTTAATCATGTAAAGCACTTTGCATTGTCTTTGTACTGAATTGTGCTATACAAATAAATTTGCCTTGCCTTTTGCCTTGTCTTGCCTTGCCTTCCACTCCCATTTAAGCAGCCTCTGTTCCTTTTCAGTAGGTCAGTTTTTTGTTTGAGTTAGTCACTGTTCAGTTGACCTCAGTTGAGTTGGGCCCAATTCCATGTTATTTATTATTTAGGCTATTTTGTATAGAAGTTTGTTCTTTTGTTAATAATTTTTTGACATTATGAAATCAAAGTTGTTTTTAAATGTTAAACATGTGTATAAGTTTGGTCTTTCACATTTATCAAGAACAGGATTAAGAGACGGCAAGTAGACCTTAGTGTAAAATGGGATGCAGAACAGAGAGTTGCCAAACTCAGACATTCAAGGACAAGAGTTTGCTTTGACATAAATACCCAGTGAACATCTAGTCTACATCTAGACGTCTGCACTTTGGATCCAAGGTGAAATTCACATTAGGGATTGCAATTTTCTTGTGAACCTAAGAAACACTGATGAGTTAAATAAAGAACCACTGAAAAAGCAAACACTTTAGGTAATTATATGCAAATGGGAATGTGTCACCACTATAAAAGGAATGTAAGTGGTGCAAAAACAACAACATAATGCACTTTAAGAGTGCCACCAAACAAATCAAAGACAGGCATTTCTTTTTTTTTTCTCTCTTTTAGAAACGGCTTCCAGGAGCCCACTCTCTTTAGAGCTAATGAAATATCTAATGCACTTAGTTTCCTTTGCTTTGCACCTGGCTCCTCAGAGGCATGTTCCTCCTCTCACAGCTAAATTACTTGATCTCAATGGAGCGAGACAGAGTGTGGTGAGCAACAAACGGGCGGAGACGTTAGGTACTTTGAGCAGAAAGATGACGAGGTTGTGGAGGAGAACGTCACTGGTTCAAAAATAAAGCTAAAGCTCATCATCTTTCCGTTAATGGTACTAAAAGGATATACATTGTTGTTTGCAGCATTTGGCCTGTAAATTCTCCCTCAAAATTTGCCCAAACCATCACTTTTTCTCAACAACATAAAGTACAAACCAACTAAGTTTTGTTGTACTGAGGTTCTCTCTGGGGTTTCCTTTTCTTTTAAGAGTGACTTATGATTACAGCTACTAGACAGCTGTTTAGGGACAGGATATGCAAGAGAAGGAATACTGTGAAGTTATTTATGAGATGCCTTTCTGAGTCAGTGAAAATAAATACAATGAGTTTGATTCCCATGCCTGTTAACCCTCTTTTCACAAAGCAATCTCTCTGAATGTTCCAATCAAACAGACAATACAGCCGCCTCATGAATAACAAAAGCAAAGTCGCTTTATAAAAAGAGTGTATTGAAGGTGTAAGTTCAAGGATATTTGCCCTTAGAGCACATAGCTGTATCTAACAAATGTCAGTGACTGACCTTTTATGAATTAAAGCTGAATGGTTATAATGTGGGAAAGATATGCAAGCCGAAAACTAAAGGGTCAGTATGTGGCAAAGGTGAAACTATATCAGCAGCAACACTATAACCATCAGAAACTATTGCTCTTATTATAACCTAGTGCTTATTGACAGAGTTTTGACTTATGCATTTAAAAAGTAAATTAAAACTGAGAAAAGGTCCAAGTTTCTTTGCCTTTTCCGTCAAACAGGTTGACTTAATTGTAGTCTTTTAAAAGTCTTCTAATCAAGAGTACCTAAGTCATTTAGAAAGATAGATTATATAAAAGCACTGTATTAATAATGCAAAACCTTTGTAAAGCATTGTTAACAAAGCACCTTCCCTGTTGAGTAAGAGCTGTTTGAGTTATAAAGATACATTATGATAAGGTTTATGAATCCTTTAATGAACCTTCAGAACCTTAATTTAGAAAATATCACTATAAACTATGAAGAGGAGGCCAGTCCAGTCTTGAAGATCTATTATCCTGCAGCTTTAACATTCATCTTGTGTCCAAAACACGTTAATCAAATAGATGGCTTATTACCAGGCCTCTGGAGAGCTGAGGCTGAATTCCCTCATCAGTATGAGGGAATTCAACTATTTGAGTCAGGTTTGGTGGAGAGGGAAAGCTTCTAAATATTGAAGGGTTGCCTTCAAACTGTTATCAAACCAGATCCTGAGGTGAGTAAATATTCAAAAAACTTGCTTAATTACACAATCACAGCTTTTAGAGAGAAATATTAAGCTGCTGATAGAATGAGCCCTTATGATCGATGCCCGCACGGGCTGTCATTAAGCTGATGCATTTTTATTAAAGTCATCCATCATCAGCGTAATCAATTCAGATAAAAGATGTTTGGTCTGCTGCGGGAAACCGACTCGTGTGTTTTCATACATAACTGATGAGTGAAGGGGCTGCATATCAGAAAATGAATTTGTTTGTGCGTGCATTGCTATGAACAGGATGTCCAAATGGGTTTTGTGGATCACTTACCGAGCACGCCCAGTCGGTAGTTCATGGTCACTACGATCACGTTGCCGTAGGCGGCGAGGACGCTGGCATCAAACATGTTTCCAGTGCCTTCCATGTAAGAGCCTCCGTGAATAAACAGCATGACGGGCTTCTTTCTGCGATCACGAATATCTGCACACAGAGGTAATATAAAAATTAGAAGAACAGCAATCTTTTCAAGTAGGAACAAAATAATAATTAATACAGTAACATGCAGATTCTGCTAAACAAATACACTACAAAAAACGGTTATCAGTAATCAAAAAACCTCTCTAATATAGCATTTGTTTTAGTAAACAAAATGCTAGAGCAGAAAGATATCAGCATTGACTTTAGACCTAATCAACCTGGGAAAGGTTATAAAGCCATTTCCATGGGAATTAAAACAAAAACAAAAAAGGGCTCCATCTCAAACTCGAGGAATGAACAAAAACTGAACAAATGTAGCTGCTTTGGAAGACTGCCTTGAAAAAATCAATTCCTTCGAAAAACAATATTGCAGCAGGAACCATGCTTTCAAAGTTTGAAGGGTAACAATTATTGCTTACTTAGCAGTTAATGTATTAAAAATTCAGTGTTCTGTAAACTACCATGAATCTAAGACTCTTTCTCTGAAAGCTGAAGTTTGGAATACAACAGGTCACACAGCAGACAATGGTCCCAAACAAAACAGCAACATAAGATAATGATTGAGAAGGAAAGGGATCAATGCTTTGTAATGGCAATGTCAAAGTCTAGACCTCAATCTAATCAAAATGACCTTGTTTGGGCCTTAAGAGAGCTGCTCAGCAACAAGTGTCACTAAACCTCAATAAACCTAATCACTGTAAGGACGGGAAGTTAAACACTGATTTGAAAAAACTGATCAAACCTTTAACAAAATGGACTTCCTAAGGGTATTTCAGGACGTATTAAACATGCTGTAGGAATCATGGATCATGTTTAGTTTATCTTCAGATTCCAGGGTTGTAACGGAAAACCAATTCAAGCATGTGCAACTTATTGTTATCATTTTGGAACAAGAATATTTCTGTTACTGAGGAATAGAAATGTAAGACAGCTACAAACTACTTGCATGCCTGGTGTTTTCCGTAAATCCATAGACAAACAGCAAATAAAGGTATCTTATAGAAGACAAGAGCATCATGACCAATTTTTGGTGAAACAATTAATAAGAAGTTAGCAGATAACTAGGGACCAGTGGTGCTTAACACATCAAGTGGTGAATTAATGTGACTTTAATGCTTAAATCTCCACTAAATGCACAGTACAACTTGGCCTGCTGCGTTAATAGACATATCAACTGTCTGCACTTCAATTCCCTATAGGCTATCAGTTTAAAACCAGCACACATCATTGGTGGCTCTGGCCTTGGGGGTGAAATATGAAGAGCTCATATAAATGTCAGGTAAAACACTGGAAGGCCTGAATTGAGAGGTATGGTTGATTATCTTAATTCAAAGTGAAGCATGTCAGATTATTGGGAATTCCCTTGATATAAATGGCATTAATATAGTTCTAAATATATATTTAATAAGATTTTATGTCTAAAATGTTAAAACTAAATCCAGAAAACTTGCTTAAAATCAAAGAAATAAGATAAAAGCGGACTAATGATGATGCAAATGTGAATTCACCATATTTTACCTTTTACTAAGTATTTTCTCTTCTAAAATACTTTGCAGATGGTTGATTATATTATTTGGTGAAATCTTAAGGTCTCTTTATTGTTCAAAAATACTGGAGAAATTATCGTAAAAAATGAAGAAAAAAAAAACATTTTCATAACAAGACAATATAAAGTGAAGAAAACATCAGTAAAGAATTTATGTCATTGTAGTGGCATAATACAGGCAGGTACAATGAAGCTGGGATACAAGTTATTGATATTTCAGTTAGCAGTTTCTTTAAAACAGTCAAAGCCAAACCCCAAAAACCTTAATGCAATTTCAATTTCGGGTTTCAGCATATCTCTAACATTATCTTAAGTCCACCTCTTACTGATTGATCAGAGTCTCATGAGATGTACTACCACAAAAGCTGAGGGGTTCTCAAAAAACTTTGAATCTTAAGTAGAGCGAAAAAGCAAGAAGATATTTGCGACTGATCAGCCTGTAAGATCTAGTTCTGTCAAAAGGTTCTGGTTTTTTTAATTTGTAAACTCACTGACTTGAACTCCAACTGCATCACCATGCAGTGGGGCAGATCCTGCTGGACTCAGTAGTTGTCTTCTTTCACCCCCTGCAGTACCTGGTCTAGTGTAGCTGGAATTAAGCTATAGTCCTGGGTGTCTCTGACAGCACCATGGGAGCTGCTTGCTTCTCTTTGTTGGGTATTCTTTGTGAGGGTGCTTGGGCCAAGTTTCCCCATCTAAGGCTTCCATATGATGGTCTTTGGCTCCAGGGGATAAGTTTGGCAAACCACAGGGCTGTGCTAGGCCGATGGTGGGTATCCCTGCCTATTGACCTTTCAGTAGCCACTTCCCACAGTATATTGTAATTTTCTTCTAAACGGTCATTCTCAGTTCTGCTGGCAACAGTGAGCTGGTGCCTGTGTTGTGTCTCTGGGGGTTCTGCCCCTGTCTGTTTTGAGGCTGGAGGTTGAGACAGGCCATGCTTAACAATGGGAAGTGGTTGCAGGCATAAGATGCACAGTTTGGGTTGGTAGTTAGGATAATTTGTGCCTTGGGTCTAGGGCTGTGTCTATTTGGCATTGGGGCTGCTCATTCTGAGCATTATTGACAACATACCAGTGTGTGGGTGGCTACCCCAGGGAAATGCTTTGTATGTGTCTAGCTGGGAATATTTCTGTTCCGCAGAGCTGGGTCTGCTGGTTATTTGCTGTTCCTGGGCGCTATGTGTTGCAGGACTTTTATAGTTCTCACCATTCTTCCAGCTGTCTATCTTCAGGTAACAGACTTACTCATATAAACTCATAAACAAAACTTGGACCCCCCCCACACACACACACAGATATATATATATATAGCTGCTGTTGAAGGTCATACTAACATATTTTGCTAATACATCAATGCCCTGCCTACCTTGATGCTGGATAAACTCAGTCATGCAATTAGGACTCCATCTTGAGATATCCTTTTGAAGAGCAAATCTGCTCCGGCACATGTGGGAAACTGCTTTAATATAAGCTCAAAATGCCGCAACAGGACACGTGATAAAAACCTTGATAACATTTATCTTTTTTCCTCCCTTTTGATTGAAGTGTAATCATTCAGTATGGGAATGCTGAATAAATCTTACTCTGAAAAATATACCAAACCTTCTGGCATGATAAAAATTGAGATAAAGATTTTCTTCAAAGTGAAGATAAAAGATTTAATCCTCCAGATACATGTTTGATAGATTGTGAGACAGATTTTGTTTGTTTAGGCTGGTTAGGTTTAACCTAACTTATTAGCTGCTAGAATGATTCTGGCTTCTATCATAAAATAAATGTGCCGGTAGCTTGAAAAGAATCCAGTTAATAGTGATGAGAGTTTTAAACAGAAGCCAACTCCTGCTGCTCTGTGTGTTTGAATGCAGGACTGTCCCTGATGGGCCCTCATTGGCCTTTGAACCATTTCTCCCAGCTGAACATGGAACGATCCTTCCTGCCAGGAGCCGATGGGAGCATATGGCACACGGGACTCCGAACTGTGGCACGGTGACAGCCCCGGATGGCTTCTGTGTGAGCATGTGCTAAATGTGTGTGTGTGTGTGTGTGTGTGTGTGCAGGCCTGGGGGTTATGAGAGAGCAGTGGAGCAGATCAACCACATAAATAACCATTGCAGCATCTGTTACTGAACAGAAGAGAGACAGAGATGGTTTGAGTCCCTCTGAGTCTTTTATACCTGTTGAAATATGTATTAAATGCTTCAAAGTAAATATAAGCTGGGTTATACTCAGATCTGTGCAAAACTCTTAAACCACTCATTCATATATGTCTAACTTCCAATGAAACCTCAGTTGTGATCTTAAACATGGCTTTTAAACAATGCACTATGCTTTAAAGCAAACATGTTTTTCTTCGTTGTTAAACAGTGTTGAATACAGTGTAGTACTGGGCTTTCTGTTAGAGAGAGGGTAATAAGCTCAGTGATGTGACGGGGGGGGGGGGGTGAGAGTAGAGCAGAGCTCCTCCAAGTCAAGAGGAGCCAGTTGAGGTGGCTCTGGCATCTGGTTAGGATGCCATCGGGACACCTCCCTGGTGAGGAGTTCAGGGCACGTCCCACAGGGAGGAGACCCACAGTGAGATCCAGGACACACTGAAGGGACCATGTTTCTTCGGCTGGCCTGGGAGCGCCTCGGGATTCCCCCTGAGGAGCTGACCTAAGTGGCTGGGGAGAGGGGCCTCCCTACTGAAGCTGCTACCCCCTTGACCCTACTTCGGATAGACAGAAGATGATGGATGGATGGATGGATGGATGGATGGATAGAAAGAGTGAGAATAGAAATGTAGTTGTTGAAAGAAAGCCGTACTACACCATTTCAATTTCAAAGCATAGTGATCACAGCATTACAGTATACTGTATGGATGCTCTTAGGAACAGGACATTTGGTCAGAAGTTGGATGGCACTAGGACCCCAGCCTGACAATGCCAGGTTTGGGTATGCCTGACAGTCTTCTTTGTTGGATAGAGGGTTCTGGCTAGACAAAGCAGCAGCTAAATCTTTACTAAGAGTAGGAATAACGTCAAAGCAGCCACCTGAAGCAGCCCTTACAGTATCTGCGCATATCAGCACATGTAAGTCAGCAAATGCCTCACCTCTCCCTTAACAGGCATGTGCTGAGAAAAAGCGAAGGTTGACATCAGAGTTGTGTTGTCTTTTAGAAGCTGTGTTTTAAATAGCTATTTAATTTATCGTGGTTTACACCAACACATTTCAGCTCTTTTGCGACATTTGTGTGGACTGACAGATAAATCCCGCTTCTTTCTTTCTTGTATTTGAAGTTTATGCCCTGTTTTTCTTTCTTTACTTCAGTGGCAGCATTATCAGTCCAAACTTAGTGTAGCATAAGTGTTATAAAACCTATTATGGCTCTTCCATCTTCATGTCATTCTATCTTTACACTCAAACCTTTCTGTGAGGATACTCTTTTCGAGTCCTTTGAGAAAATAAGAACAATATCC